TCTTCCCAATTACTTCCTGGGACTCGCATGTTCTCTTGTACTGGAAACAGGTCACCTTGGCCTTGTCACATGCTGAAATATGTGCAGTGCTCGATTATTGGGCGACAACCCCTGTGATTCTCCTTCGTGACGAAACAACGGCTGAAACTATAATAACGTCCAGGTGAGGCGGTAGCAAAAGAAACATTGAGCTACTAATAGATTTGTTTCGGCGATTGTTCCTTCATTACTGCAATGTGTTTCTCGTGGAAAGCTGAACGGCAATAGTAAAGATAGATCAGCCCTTTAATATTACCTCTTTTCTTCCCGTATTTCCTTAAACGAGTTCTTATTTTGGAATACATCTGCATATTGAGCTTTCTGCACTTACTTAAATGTATTTCTGGAAGCATAGTTAGTAACTCTTTGAGTATACAAGGAATAGATGTGTCCTCTTAGATTACCACGTCGATGCTCGAACTTAAGGACTATCATAGTGGCTTAAGTTGATTAGAAAGACTTTAGTCGCTACGATCTTCAGTTCCAGTTTCGTATGCAGAGAAAAGAAGTGTTGGGAGGAACAATGTATTCTGGTGGATAATTTTGTTGAGTTTCGAGTATCACAAACATTTGATGTGGACTCCAGGGAAGTCGCCGTTTCGGACCAATATTTCTGCCGGTTATCCCTAGCCAACTTCGCTGTTACTTTCCGGAGTTGGCGGAATGATGCATCGCTGCCGGACCTGGCTGGTGCCATCTGAGCAGACAACTTCGGGGCTATTCCGTTAGTGCAGTCCCTGCGCCGCCGCTAGTTGAATCCAAAATATTTACCAGCTGTCCCATAAAATCATTCCTTCAGTGCTAACCATTGGTCACTGCCTTCACAATCGGTCCGAGTTGTAAAACCGCATCGGATTTTGGTGCTCAGGACCTCAGCAGTGCTGGACTGCTGAAGTTTGGCGACATCAAGGCGTCTCGCGGGCGGCAATTTTGGTGCACATGATAGGTACATTTTCAGGCGTGTGCGAACAAGAACATTGTCAGACCCGTTGGCGTTATCATTTTCGGCATCACACACTGATCCGTTACCGTGAAGGAAACTACGGAACCTCGAACCAACAGGATTATAGTCGATCTGTATGGCGTTATACCCATCGCTTGAATACTGGGTCAGCAAATGTTTTTGGTGATGTTGGAAACCCGTGTTCGATTCAGATTAGCAAAATACAGCATGTATTTACGACTGTCTTATCGGCGGCTAAGCTAAATCAGGTGACTGGTTCACGAGTCGCCGGGTCCTTTCTGACTATTTCAGTCCCCGACAACAATCAAAACATCATAGTGAGATGTTTTATACTTACGCCTGCAGCTGCGCTTTTTGGTAGCTGATGACATTGCTTACACAAAGACAACAGAGATGTCCGTAACGTTACCCCTCAGTCTCACGTAAGCCATGCGGTTACTGACTAGTTCGCATACACGTAGTGCACAGTTTGCTTGTTCCGAAAGGGCAGTAGCCACACCGTGTCTACCAAAGAGTCGCGTGGACCGTTGTGGTACAGGATGAAACGGAAGTGACTCCCGAGATCTTTATTTCCCGTCACCTGAGCCAAAGATTCTGACTTCAGACCAGAAGCAGACATCCACAGGGTACCGATGAAAACTGTGTGCCATCAGACTTTGAGTACCAGGTTTCAGAAACGTTTGCATTCTCCTGTAGATGGTATCAATTTTCCGTTATCAGATGAACAATCTAGCTCGTACATTATACCCCCACACCCCTACCTCGGGGTTGCGAAGCGCGTCAATTACCACTGATGCCCGAGCACTGATCAAGGTACTTTAGTTGGACATTTGAGGATTTAATACAGGTGGGTGTCAAACTGCCGCTCGGAATGTTTGTTCTACGTTTTTTTCTCTGGCACTTTGGCTCAAAAGACGGCTAAAAGCGGCAACGATAGCAATCATACTTATGTACTCTTGTTTGACGATCGCTATTTCACAGTGCCGCCATTGAATGTCACCGTATTTTATAAGGTAGTCGGCGTGCCAGACAGCAGCCCTCCGCACCCTGGCAGCCCTGCTTGTTTCAGAGCTAAGTTTTGCTGAAGGCCGCTCTACTGTCCGCTACCTATAGAGGCGCCGTTTAGCCAACAGCTAGGCTGACGGGCAACCAATCTTCCCGAGTAAGAATACCTTCTAACTAAAATAGGCAGCACTTACAGGGTCAACGTCTCGCAGGTGTTGCGAATCATCCCATGCAGCAACTTGAAGGGATTTTGACTCCTTTTTCCTCGCACAGAACTCTTACTTTAAATATTCACTTTTAGGGACGCAATAAGGAGGTTGCTGATGGAAAATTCGTTACGATGCTGTGGTCACAACTGTGAGTAAACGCTCAGTAGTTGATTTGAACCGCCGGAAAAGGGACTGTTGAATCCGCCTCCAAATCCGCAGAACTATAGTCGAGAAAGGTGGCGTCGTACAAGACCTAGATAGAAACATAGGTTGATCAAGATCACACACATGGCAACTACAATTACTGATGCAGGCAACTCAATTTACGGTTGACCGATGAGCCACACTCAAATGAAAATATCGCACTTCGTGCTGACTTTAGTTGACTGTCCGTAGTTATAATTTTGCCAGCTTTTTAAAGCAGTTTTGGTATTTGCCATTTTCAGTTACTGATTCTCGAGTTTCGGTGTAAATTTTCTTGCTTGCAATATAGTAGAATTTGGTAGTAGCCTCTAATTATTCAACTTTGTGCTGCTTTGATTCACCCCTTCAGACTGACGCCCGTCGGAGTCTGCTTCATGATCGCCGGCGCCATCTTGCCAGTGGAGGACGTTTCGGGAACATTTGCCAGTCTGGGATTCTTCATTATCACCGTAGTTGTTGCCTGTCTGATTAATATAAAAATTACCTTCCTGCTTTTCTTCGTTGTCCTACGACGCAACCCCTTCAAATTCTTCCTTTACTGCCTCAAAGCCTGGTTCGTGACCGTTGCGACAACTGCCCCGTAAGTCTGACTGCCGCCAACTGCGCCAGGCTTTGATGGATTCCGCATACATTATTTTCGATTTCCGACAGTAAGCTA